CATTTAATGGTCTGGTTTCTCCGATTTTCACTTAAACTTTATTTATCGAGATAATTATCAATATCGACTGTTCTTCACAGAAAAATTTCATTGTGATATTTTTTTTGGCCAGATCGCCCAGCCCTATTTCCAGATGAACACTTACTGGACTGAAGCAGCTTTTAGAGAAATCAGTGCGTCTCAAATCTGATCCTCAGGATCTTTTGAGGAGCACTTATTTGTTCATCTCTCAATCATCACTGCATTGCATTATATGTTTGGATCATTTCAATCTCATCTTACGGAGACAGATTACTGGAGATATAGAGTGACGACTGATATTCAAATCATTTTATGTCAGTATCTGCTGTACTGTTATAAAGATCTCACTGATTTACATTACAAGCAGCGGAATTTCAGCATATAAATATCAGCATCTGAACCAAAATGAATATTTTTGCTCAGTCTCCGAATAAAACAGTCGATAAAAAAGCCTGATGTATCAAATATGACTATGTGAGGCTTCACATGGTTAAAGGCTTTAAAGGTCCACGCAGCGTTATTCTATGTGCTGACGTAATTTCAACTGAAACTGGAAGACAGGTCGGGACATATCTAGCAGCTCCACCCCCTTTTTTAAATAGACAATAGCGTTTTGTTTATATCACAGCTTGGGCCAGAGTCTTTGAGCTTGGTGAAGCCGCATTTGACAGCGTATGATCGTCATAGTCTAATAGATTAGCCTTTAGATTTAATATGAAACTATTACTAAATCAAAGCAGTGATTATAGTGATGATGAGGATGTGTAGTTTGAAAAGTGTGTCATCTCTTCTACTTGTCAGTGCCGTTAAACTGTTTCTCCTCCTGATCTCATCCATATCGCTGTAAAATAAAGCATGGGTCCGATACGGTTTTGTGGTCTGTGCCAACTTGCGCATATGATCCGCTTCGGATTCTAGAGAGCATTTGACTGGACAGAAAGTCTGACGAGAAGCCGAAGTGCAGGGTGACGTCATCAAAACTGCTGATCCATATTGGAGGAAGTGAGAGACTGTAGGTTTTGAATGCTAATAAATGAGGCATCTACTGTATATAGCGCTTTATTGTGTACTGCAGTATCATGAGGGGGTCTCTCCTCAACCACCACCACATATCTTTTAAATGTGAATTTTGTCATTGTTTTGGAGCACACTAGCTTCTAGATAACCTTAAGGCCAACATATTTTTGATTTCATGGGGACTTTAAGGCAGCGCTGCACAATGACAGGTGAACTGTGCCTTTAAGGGCGGCAAACTGAATCTATTTCTGCATGTGCAGTACGTCATTCTGAAGATGAAACATTAGAATCATGAACCAGTCAGCTGAGAGCAGGCATCAGTGTTTTGTTGATGGTTTTGATTGTGTTTGTGTGGTGTGAATGAGGAATCCGCTCTCACTCCACCCCATGTGCGTCATTCCAGCACTCTGATAATTACAGCTATTCAAACTGCAGATGTGTGCAAGGACGACACAAACACACCCAGACCATGACATGAAGAGAAAGAGAAGCACGTACTGCGGATCTGCCGCTTGATTTCCTTGGTGGGGTCCAGCCAGCACTGCAACACAGAAACACAGAGGAGTCAGTAGAGCAGCTGCATGGCATGACCGACACAGCATCCAGAGACTGTGATCCTGAGCTCAGACTCACACTTCTCTTCAAGAGAGCTCACGATGCAGTCCTCAAACATATCACTACCTGAAGCCAATATTAGAATTATTTAATATGAGCTTATTTCTGTTACACATTTCTTCATTTTGGCGATGTGCACTTTGTGTGGTAACGTCTTTAAAAATCTTGGTTAATTAATAGTTAAATAATTTGCTATTTTCATACATATAGCTCATGTAAACCATGATTTCCAGAATTCAGAATCATGGGATCCAGTAATAAAATGCATTGTATAAGGAGAAATGTCACTTAATTTGGCAAGATTTGGATGAATAAATCAAAAGTAGGACCGTACATTTCATTAAATTGTTATATGGACTAGAAGCGTCTGTGAATAATAATAATAATGATAAATTAAAAATGAATAATTATAATATTAAAACCTTTGATATTGGCTTTCTCAAGCCATTCTCACACCATTTTGTCTACAGTTAAATGTAAACAATAAACGTCTGATGTGCAGCACTTTGTTTACCAAAAAAAGATTAAAGGAATGGATCAAAGTTGATTAGATTGCATTTGTAAAAATTACATTTGTAAAATTAAACAGAATTTCTGATTCAAATGTTAATACATTTATAAATGTAAAGATACTAATCAATTGAATTCATAAAACTTATTTAATAAACATCAAAACCTAATTAAACCATTAAAACAGAAAAATTAAAACCTAAACCACTGAAATTAGATCAAATAAAACTGAATTTGAGAGGGGGGAAAAAAATAAACCGATTTCATAGGGCCCTCCTAAAGTGACTCAGAGACATGTGTCTGAAACATCTGGCCTTGATTACTGGCTCAATCAGCTGCACTGGATGACTGATAACAGAACTAGAAAACAACATGCCTGGCCAAACCCATGATGCATGACGCTTTAGCTTAACTTCACACTTCACCACCAACACCAGTTAAAGGACTAATGTGAGTGATGTGCTACTGATCACAGCACACGCAGTCTTGTGTTTGACACCAGCACATCAGTATCAGTGTGTGTTTGGTTTCAGAGCTCTGGAGGAGAGCTAGTGACGATGAGATCACACAGGATAGACAACTTCACCATTAAAACTCACGAAACATCATTCCAATACAGCGCATGAGGCATACGGATTGCTCTTATGATATAGTTCTGTTGTTTTTGTAGTTAATGCATCTGGCAGGTTTAGTTCAGCTCATGCACTGAACATGAATCGAACCCATGGCATTGATAATGTCAGTGTGTGTCTGATGTTTCCATCCGTGTCTCATGTGTGAACTCACCCTCTGCTCAGCGTTGTCTTTAAAGCTCAGGCCGAAGTAATCCTTCTCCAACAGATTCAGCTGCTCGCAGACCTGAAAAAACAGGTAATGGCCTTTCGCCCGTTTCTGGAGAGACAATAAAGAAGAGGAAAGAAGTGAACACACTTTACAGTACAGACGTACACTAACAGCTGAACTCACCATGGAGTATTTGGACATTATTTGTTAAGAAAGTGATATATATACACATCACATCACACAGATCATTCTGTCATAATTTACTCACTCCCAAGTTATTCCAAAGTAAATGGGGTCCAAATCAACAATGGGCTCTATCACAGACTTTCACTGTATGGACCAAAAACAAAAACAACACAATGGGACTTTTTGTTTTTTAAATTCCATGGATAAAGATGATCAGGGTTGGAAGAATGTGATGGTGAGTAAATGAGGACAGAAGTGTCATTTTTGGCTGGTATTTCAAGCATTCCTGTAAACGCCAACGCGAGTCTGAATGGTGACTGTGGAGTCTCCAAGACGCTCTGAAGCGCCACACACAGACGCGGGGTTATAATGGGCCTATTGGAGCCGCTGGACACAGCAGACAGTCGGTTGGTGTGGATGGCGTGACTGTGTGTGTGTGTGTGTGTGTGACTCTTGAGGAATGAGAGGCTGCTTCGAGCTCCTCTCCAGACACCAGGAGCTTCCAGCATTAGTCACTGAGGAACATCTGAAGACAGAGAACAGCGCTGCATTCATCTGTCTGCTCCAAATACTTATGCACAGTTTTTAACCAGTCGAGGTTTCTCACACCAAAAATATTACATCTATAGGATAAGTAGGAAAGTAACTATGACAGTGCAGTATCTGTTGTCTTGAATATTGTTAGAGCAGAAAATAAAATAACCTGAAACACAACTGCTTGTGATAATGTCACATTGCAATACCAAGGGTTACATTATTTTTCTGATGGATAAAATTAGAACATGACAGGAAATGTATCTCATTCAGTCAAACTGACAGATAAGGATTTTTTTAGTGCAACGCTATTATTTGAAATGATTTGTTTCAGTCCTTTTGAGTCAAAGATTGGTAATTTAATACGCAGTAGTCTAGAAACAAATGGACATGATCGTGACATTTGTGTTACTGTTCCTTTAAGACTTGGACAGTATGTTTAAATGATCATGTTATGATTGTTGTGATGTGTGTTTTTCAGTTTGGTTTCAGTAAAGAAGAAGTGCTGAGTTGTGAATGGTACTTTATCTCACAGTACTGTAAAACAGTTTTCTTCTACATGGAGCGGTTGAGATCACATGTAGATGAACACTTTATCTCACTAAACTCCCTGTTGTCAGACACTTCTGCTTATGGAATAAATTAGGAATGGCTGACAACAACATCTGATGCTGCATCCATGCCAGGTTTCAGTGTAAGTCTCGTATCAACTACACGCACATAAACAAAAACAGAGAGTGTGTTTTAATCTGTCTGGTTATGACATGCCACACAAAACACCATAAGCTGCTGTTATGGATGCAATTACACAAACTAATCCCAGTGTTCACTCACAGCAGATTTACTGATGAGTGATCAGACGTTACGCTCCGTAAACTCTGCAGACGCTGCTTCAACACACACAAAAACACACAGCTCATGGATTTCAGTTTGCAGTGGGTAGATAGTGGCTGTTCCTGCATTAGTGAAGTGCATCAGGTGAATGGCGAGAGTAAACGAACACTAGTCTATCACACACAGTATGGCCACAGAAAGCCGCAGGTGCTCATGGGTGGAGACGTGCGCCCATAGTGTCGGCACAACAAACCAGAGCCAATAACATCCACAGCTGAATCTGTGAGGCAGAAACATCACTTGTGTTGCACAACACACACGAGAAAAGCATGAATGTCAGATGATCCTCATCTAGAGTGAAGGAAGTGACTGTGTGGTAATAATTTCACCACAGTAAAGTGCTGCTAGCCATTAAACCGTGACAACTAGGATGATGAAGATATATGGATGAACATGGAAATAAAGTGCAAGAGATGTGTGATATTAAAAAGAGTTATTAAAATCACAATACGCTCCTGTAGAAAATGAAAACTCAATTTGGAAGCTGAACTTGAAACGCTAATTCACAAACAATGATGTCAAAACGCATTTCTTGGTGAGTAGCCATGTAAACTAAGTCTTAAGTGAATGCAAACAGTTGGGAGAAAATCTAAATGCTTAGTCTGTTAATGCAATGATGATTGAGAGATGAACAAGCAAATGTTCCCCAAAAGATCCTGAGGATCAGATTTGAGACTCTAAAACATGATTGATGGAGAATCAAGTAAAGCTGAGCTGCTTCAGTCCAGTAAGTGTTCATCTGGAAATATGCAACAACAACAAAAACACCCCTCCATGAAAACACAAGCAGCGACAGGATCTCTGCACTTACAGCATTAAAAACACAACGCCATATGCTTCCTGCTGTTATATAGGTCACTGCGCTCTGATTGGCTGAGAGTTCCTGTCCATCATCTATTCGCTCTCAAGAGAGAGTCAGAGACTAGATAGAGTCAGTCCTGCCGTCAGGACAGAAACACAACAGATGAAGTGGCAGCGCTCCTAACATGCATCCGGGGTCGTTCAGCCATCCTGAGAGCCCTCATTGTCCCCACCGGCCCCAAAGAGCATCACGTCTGGAATGCTTTGTGTGAAGCTGCGGCTTATGCGTCCCGGAGAGAGTGCCGCTCATCTCTGAGCAAACATGCCACCGTCTCGTGCATGAATACACTAGGACAATAGCGCTTAGTGATGCCTCAGCACTTTCCGGTGACAGGACAAAGGAGAGGCTGTTCAGAGCTCGCAGAGCGGCCAGTAATGAAAGCCCAGCCCTTCACATCCCAACACTCACCTGCACTGCATCGGATCATAGCTTCTCTTGTTCAGATGACAGACTTACTGTCAGCGATGAGAAGCCTCCACAAAGCACACGTCTTTAACACTCTTTACATGCCATTTAACATCATTTAATAGATTATTCTAAAGAACTTTTAATTATTTTAAATATTTTACTAAAATATTAGGTGTAATAATTAAACATTTTTTAAACATACCATGCTATCAAAAGCTCCTGTGTGTATCAGTGTTCTGTGAAGACATCTGGTGCTCTGTGAAAGTTTCCATTTACAGCATGTGTGTGTGTGTGTGTGTGTCTGTGTCTCTCTCTCTGTGTGAGTGTGTCTCTATGTGCAAGTGTGTGTGTGTGTGTGTGTGTGTGTCTCTCTCTCTGTGTGAGTGTGTCTCTATGTGCATGTGTGTGTGTGTGTGTGTGTGTGAGAGAGTGTGTCTCTATGTGCAAGTGTGTGTGTGTGTCCAGATCCCAGCAGCAACAGCAGACAGTGAGGGTTGAAGCTGTGGGGGTGTTGACAGACCCCCAATAATCTGACCTTCAAAACTCTGAACACACCCACCAGATCACTGCGGGGTCAGAGGTAATCGCACGCATCTGAACGCTCCTGTCAGCACAATGACTCATCCTATTACAGCTCTACTTCTCAACACACACTCCTTCTGCAACTCCGATTTCATTTTATAATTATATATTATATATATATATATAAATATATATATATTATAAATGCATATTATATATAATGCGTATACTTTATTTGTTGAATATCTTGTTTGTCCATTGAAGGATCCATATATCCATGCGTTACACATCAGTGTGGTGCTGGAGACGTGAACCACTGCTGACAGCCTCAGTTATGATGAGTCGTGCTGCTGTGGAGCTGATGATCTTTATATAGACACAAATCCAACCAACACACATATCTCCATCTACACAGCAGGATTACTGTCATCCTGAATTATCATAAAATAAATAGCAGTGAAACACAAACAGACAGACTGCCGCTGATCACAATCAGACCACGAACATGAATTAGGACAGGAAATGGAGTGCGATTAGATTCTGATGTGGACTTTAACATCCATCCACCTCATACAAGCCTCACCGGGTCACTTGTTGTAGAGTAGAATGATTTAACATCACAATGCCAATGTGCACAGACGGACGGACGCGTCTTACCTCCACCTCACAGGAGAACTGGCTGCCATCCAGCAGGGTCACGTGACACACCACCATCTTCATCTTCTTGTTGACTTTGAGTGCTGACAGCACACTCGCCTCGTGCGGGATCACTTGCTCTTCCTCCTTCGTCGTCTCCTCTTTCTCCTGCTTCACCTCCGATTCGCCCTCTTTCTCCTCTCTCACAGGCTGCACACACACACACACACACACACACACGCACACACATACACACTAGGTTAACACACACATGTCGTGTTCAGCTTCTGATCTGCATTACAGTCCCATCACACGCAGGTTTATCTGAGGAGATGATGGCTGAACGATCTGCAGTCAACACCAGAAGCATGAGATGAGCTCGGTGCATCTCAGGACTGCAGCAGTGCAGTAAAGACCACGAGGTCATGCCTGTGTGCGTGAAACTTCTAGCTGTCTGCTTTGAATTCATCCCCTATAAAGGAGCACTGCATGCACATCAGGACAATAATTCAATGATTTTAATTAAGATATTATGTTGATGAAAATATGACAAGAACAAAACCATTGCTTGATGCATGCATCAATATATATATATATATATATATATATATATATATATATATATATATATATATATATATATATATATATATATATATATATATATATATAATATTTATTAAAATTGTTTAAATTAATATATAAAATCTTTGGTTTAAAAAGTTGATTTAATTTAGCATTTTGACATAAAATGTTATTTGCGTGAACTTAAATTTGATCAGAGTGAAAGTGTTTAAAATGAATGAACATGACAAAACAGACTAAACTTAAATGATATTTTTGTCAAAAGACAAAAGCTGAGAAATGAACACTGCGCTCTATCCAGCAGTTCATGTGACTGATTCAGTGCATGATGTAGACAAATGTCTTCTGAGTTCAAACAAATCACTCTCAGGCTGCCGTTCAAAAGTTTGGGGTCAGCAAGATTTGCAATGTTTCTGAAAAAAGTCTCTTCTGCTCACCAAGGCTGCATTTACTTGATCAAAAATACAGAAGCAGCAGTAATATTGTGAAATATTATTACAATGTAAAACAGCTGTTTGCTAAGTGAATGTGTTAAACTGTAATGTATTTCTGTGATGCGCAGCTGTATTTTCAGCATCATTACTCCAGTCTTCAGTGTCACATGATCTTCAGAAATCAGTATAATGATTCAAGAAACATTTCTGATTATTATCAATGTTGAAAACAGTTGTGCTGCACAATATTTTTGTGGAAACTGTGATGCATTTTATTTTTCAGGATTAACAGATGAAGAGAAAGTTCAAAATAACAGCATTTATTTGAAATAGAAATCTTTTGAAATACTGTCACTTGTGATCAATTTAATGAGTCCTTGCTGAACAAAAAAAATCTTCCTGACCCCTGGTAGTGTATTTTATCTACAGACTCATTGATGTATGTTTGTCTCACCTGTGTGTCAGCACTGCCGATAGACTTCTCCTCCTCTGTCTCCTTCTCCTCCGGCTGCACCTCCTCTGCTGTGCTCTCCTCTCTCACCTCCTTCACCTCCTCTGTCTGCTCTGTGCTGGCGGTCCCTGCGCCTCCTCCGTCCGCCTCCTCTTTCGGCTGGCTCGTCTCCTCCTGCTCCTCCTTCACGGCCTCCACGCTCTCCTGCTTGGGCGGCACTGAGCTCTCGCTGGGCTTGTCCTGGCTCTGTGATTTCTGTCGTTTAAGCCATGGAGGCAGGAAGCGGGAGATGCCCTTCTCTTTCTTCTGGCCGCCGGCAGCAGGAGGAGGACTGCTGGGCTCCGGAGACGCAGCCGCTTCCTGACCGCTCTCAGCCTCGGTGCTCGGGCTCTCCTCCTGCACAGCATGCACAATCCTGGACTTTAATCGCTTCTCATTTTGATGAACTGATATCGACTCTTCAATCACAAGAATTCATCTATGATGTTTTCTGTTGATGTGTGAACAAAACTTCACAAAACTTTATTTTGTCTCCTGTCCAAATTACAATAAGCTTTGTGATTTGTAACTTTTGAAATGAAGTATCAGCTTTCAACTTCTGTCAGTTTTATAGCTAAATTAAAAAAATAAACATGTTTTGTCATTCTTTAATGTGTTCTGACAGATCAAGTGACACATGAGCCGATCATCACTTCCTCTTTGCTATTAGTTACATGATCGAACATCAGAAGAAAACAGAACAACTTACTGAAATGAGTCATGTCTCGTGAAATCGATCAGTGTTTTCAACACGGAAAGATGGCAATAAAGCAGCTTGTGAAAATGTCCATAAACTAGCTAGAAAAAAAAACTTTTTTGCTAAATATATGCATTTTATTACATATTCATTATATGTTTAACCTGTTCTTCAATATTTAATGTATGTTTGAATAAATCCATTCAGAAAACAAGCAATGGCATCCAAGGTTAACATGTTTTTATTTTAACAACAACACCTGAAACAATTATTTTGATTAAAAAGTTATTATAATAAATGATATTATAAATTCTTATTACAAATACTGCCTTCATTAATCAGTTTAATTCAGTAAATGCACCACCTGACAGCTTTTACTGTATAGTTTATAGCATTAGTTAAGAGAAACGTACATGTACAGGACCTTAATTGCCTATATATATCAAAATGAATCGATACTGAATTGAATCAAGACTGAAATAGAATCAAATTGCAAGAAATGTTTCTCAATACTCAGCCCTAATGCAGTATTTATTGCACAAACACAGTCGTGTGACGTCTGTTCTGAATGGGTGTCAACGCATGCTCCCTAACAGCCAATCAGAGCGCAGTACGTGGAGGAAAGATGTCAGCTCTACCTGTGTCTGCTCAGCACTGGCCGGGTCGGGTTTGTCGGGCTGGTTTGTCTGCTGCTGGACTTCAGGAGCCTTCTCCGCTTCCTTCTTCACGTTGCTCTCTGATCCCACCTCTGTCGTCATCACGGCCGGCACACTAACACACACACAAACCACAGCTCATCATCGGAGATCAGACCTCCTGAAACATCCTCCACAGACCGAACTAAACCACAAACATTTGCCTTTCAGTTACTAACAATAACAAACAAATGCTATAATACTTTCTATATGGTCTATTAGGGCTGGGCGATATAGCTAAAAAAATTATCAACTATAGAAATGTTTCATATCGTTCGGTATCGATAATTATTGACATTTTTTATAACCTTTTTTAAAAAGAGCAATAGAAAAAAAAAGTAAATTTAAACACTGTATTTTTAAATTACCCCAATTTATTGAGACAATAATTTGTTTTAACAGTCAAACACAATAAAAATTAAACAAATTTCTAATGTTTTATATGCAGATTAAATAGGTCTGAAGGAAACTTTTGTTTTGTCTCCCGAGGCCACAGGAGGGCGCAATGAGCAAAATAATGCAGCACATAATGTCAACGCACGGAAATAGCGTCTATAAAAAAAGCGTGCATTATATCTAAATTAACTCATATAAATCAAATATAATTTCCTAAAATGCATAAACAATTATGAACAAAACAGTATCATGTATTTATGCATTGTTTAATACAAAGAGCCAAACCACCCATCACGCGAATATGCGTTCTGTGAGAATGGCTTGGTTTCGGTTTTAACCCATTCAAGATCTTCTCCGTATTGAGCTTCTATATTTCTCTAATATTTTGAACGAATAACGCAGCAGCAGCGCGTCTCGTGGGCTAGACTAACAAAACATTAAAATGCAACAACGTCACTCACATCATCACTGCATCTTATGACGCACTCCTAACATTCAAATACAAATGTTTATTTTAAATTCGACTAATATTCATTCTTTATTCACAATCTCAAAGGCAGCACAGCACTCATTTCAGCATGTGTTCGTGTTTGTGTGAGCTGTCTGCGTCACTCATAGCACCTGCCTATATCCTACACTATATCGAACATTTTTTATATCGTTATCGAAGATGTACCGTCGCAGGGCTCTACAGTGCGACCATTGCGACTGAAAACTACTGCGTGTGACTATGAAATAATATTTAGGAGCACCTGTGCGACTGACCCGATCAGCATATTTGTGTTTGCGCTGAGGGAGCTTCAAAGGTTCTAATATATGTACGTGTTTCTGCAGCGTTGAGTAATGCATCACAGACATATCCTCTCATTATAACAAACACAGTGTTGACGGGGTGTAAATAAGAGATTCATTGTGCAGTGTAGAGAGCTTCGTTGATTATAATGGAGTTTTGTGAGATCGGGATAAACTAAGGAGTGTGACAGCTTTTAATGATTATTAAGGGAGTTTGCAAATGTGATATTGATTTAATACAACAGTTCATTAAACAAGAAGTTAATATTAAGTGACTTATATTGTCTGACAACAACACAATTGCCTTCACACATACAAGCTTTTCTTAAATACTGATTTCACTTGATTGGTAACTTATTCTTATTCTACTTATTTTTATTCTGTTGTTTTAATTAGAAATGTTAAAAAGCTTATAAATTAATTTTTTTGATTTTGACATAAAAGATGACATACTTTTAATAAAGTTAGAAAAATGCCATTACAAAGGTAAAAACAAAATTCCCTATAAATCACGTTAAGGAGTCAACTATCACCTCGTAATGGGAAGGTTAATTTTTTTATCAGAATTTTTGATTACTGATTAGAAGGTACTCCTAAATTTTTGCCCGTGCTCCTACATTTTTTAAAAAAAGGAGCACAAGCGCTCCTAAAAAGAAAAGTATCCGTAGAGCCCTGTGTAATCGTGGTTATTTTGTGGGGGAAAAAACGGACTCTTCATGTGAACTTGATTAACTATATGAAGTGGTATAAACATACACATTTTCTGCCCCATGTCTTGAATTTGTGATCATTCTGAATGTATTTTAATAGACTGAATCATGCCGTGAAAGTAGGTGTTTGCAGCAGAATAGCTCACTTGTCATGTTTTGTACTTAACTATATCACGTTATGAATAAACTAAACATTTAGAATTTTTACCTCAGGGTGTTTCTTATGAGTTTCTTTATGTGTGCCGTCACGCTCATTTGTTTTGAAGTCTCTCAAAAAAAGATAAACCGAGTGAGCCTCAACAACCTTGATACCAGAAATACATACACTATAGAAGAATCATTCTCGCATTTCCATGCTTCGCTGGTTATTATTATTTTTATGTTTTGTCACTTGTGTTTTAATCAGGTCCGGTCGAGAAAAAAAAAACATTTTAAACTAGCTAGAAGGCTGTTCAGCTGTAGCTCGACCTATATTATTATTGAGAACATTATAAGGTAGTTCGACCTGTTTTCTGCTACTGCGATTCTCTCTGATGATGCAGTAACTACCGCGGAGGAGGAAAAAAAATCTTCGGTCTGTCCAATGATTGTAAACAGTCATTAGGTCCGTCAGACGCAAGATATTTTAGCAGTAATGTGACCAAAAATATTTAAGACCCATTGAATCTGAATTTAAGACATTAAGACTTTTTAAGGCCTTTTATTAGGAAAACGTTATTTAAGACTTTATAAGGACCCGTGGACACCCCGAGTACAAACCTGAGTCAAACTCTCAACTTTCAACACTGTTTTTATGAAGTTTTTGTTTGGTATGTTGTTAAACAACAGTCCCGTCCAGTGAACACACTGTACTTCAGTCCCTCACAACCTCGTTTTCTTCCCCGCCAAAAATGAAACCCAGCACTCTCCTGAATAAGATCTGCTGCACACGTGTGCCTGAATCAATCACACACACCTCAGGGTCATCAGGACGCGCATGAGAACAATGTTCCCTCAACATGGGCTGAAAGAGAAGAGCTGGAGGAATTCTGGGAGTTTGAGATCACACAGCTGTTACAACACACAGCAGAGAGACGTCCAGCTGACCCTCGGCCAGGGGAAAACCACTGACGAAAGCACAGCACCAACACGTCATCATCATCACCTTCATCCTCCTCCTCAAACACACGTGTGACATGAGCAGCCACTGGGTCAAAGCATACATGCAAACGTGAAACATCACACACGCACTACTGAGAGTTTGAGCTCACTATGATTTCATTTTAAAGAAATTAATACTTTTATTCAGCAAGGACACATTCAATTTATCAGAAGTGACAGTAAAGACATTTATAATGTTACAAAGATTTCTATTTCAAATAAATGCTGTTCTTTTGAACTTTCTATTCATCTGTGAATCCTGAAAAATAAATGTATCACAGTTTCCACAAAAATATTGTGCAGCACGACTGTTTTCAACATTGATAATAATCAGAAATGTTTCTGGAGCAGCAGATCAGCATATTATACTGATTTCTGAAGATCATGTGACACTGAAGACTGGAGGAATGATGCTGAAAATACAGCTGCGCATCACAGAAACAAATTAGTTTAACAGATATTCACAAAGAAAACAGCTGTTTTAAATTGCAATAATATTTCACAGTTTTACTGATGTTATTGTATTTTTGATGGCTTGGTGAGCAGAAGAGACTGGTGTGTTTTCTCAGCAAATTTGACTTGCAAATCAGACTGTTTGTTCCTCATTTGTCAATGTCGATAGATGTTTATTACAGCACAGAGAGCACTCACTGTTGTGGGTTTGATGGTGTAGCAGTCATGAAGCCACTGCAGCAGCTGCTCCTCTGCTCAAGATTCAAGACAATCACACTCATGATGGGTTTCAAATCTACATGTGAGTGTCCAGGACAGGATCAGCAGTAGTGCTGTGTTCGATACGACGATGTATTGTCACAGAGATTTGACGATACGAGTATCGATACAGCGGTCTCTGTATCGATATTGTGGCACGTGTGCAGCAGTGGGCCGCGTTTAAATTGAATACAAGAACAACATTTAAAATGGAGTAGAAAAGTGCGAGGTTTCTAAAAAAGAATGAATAGAGCATAATATATAGGCTACAACAAGGTTTAATCTGGCCGCAGAGGAACACAACTGGGTTGCCTGATATAAAGACACGTAATCCCCGACACAGTGCAACCATGTGCTCGCGCTCTCTCTCTACAGAGGATAACCGCGCTTGCTTTCTGAAGACACCGGTAAGCTTGCAGTTTAGCGATCTCCACTTCAATATTCTATTCTCAGAAAAGTGTGATTCATCAAGTGTTCATTTACACGAGAGAGAGAGAGGCTGTGTATGTATGAATTACCACCGTTTTGCCACGTTTCTGTGGCTTTAATTACTTAAGAAACAATGATGTTACCAGCTCCTTGTTGAGAAAGATAATGTAGCTCTTGAGCGATTAAGCTATTTAACTGATAAAATTGCGGGGCAGCGCTAAAAAGTTTGTTGCTGAATGTCTGAGTGCGGCCGCAGCGTGATCTGTGTGAGTGACTGAGCGTGTGTGTGCGCGAGATACAGAAGACAGCACATTAGTTTAGAACTCCTCATTTTTATTTTTTTTTAATGTAGAAATCAAGACAATCACACTCATGATGGGTTTCAAATCTACATGTGAGTGTCCAGGACAGGATCAGCAGTAGTGCTGTGTTCGATACGACGATGTATTGTCACAGAGATTTGACGATACGAGTATCGATACAGCGGTCTCAGTATCGATATTGTGGCACGTGTGCAGCAGTGGACCGTGTTTAAATTGAATACAAGAACAACATTTAAAATGGAGTCGAAAAGTGCGAGGTTTCTAAAAAATAATGAATAGAGCATAATATATAGACTACAACAAGGTTTAATCTGGCCGCAGAGGAACACAACTGGGTTGCCTGATATAAAGACACGTAATCCCCGACACAGTGCAACCATGTGCTCGCGCTCTCTCTCTACAGAGGATAACCGCGCTTGCTTTCTGAAGACACCGGTAAGCTTGCAGTTTAGCGATCTCCACTTCAATATTCTATTCTCAGAAAAGTGTGATTCATCAAGTGTTCATTTACACGAGAGAGAGAGAGGCTGTGTATGTATGAATTACCACCGTTTTGCCACGTTTCTGTGGCTTTAATTACTTAAGAAACAATGATGTTACCAGCTCCTTG